GTCAGATGGCATGTGAGGAATGATACCTGAGGATGAACTCTGGCGCACGCGCGCGTGCACACACACACACACACACACACACACACACACACACACACACACAGAGAGAGAGAGAGAGAGAGAGAGAGGAAGAGGACAAGCTGATTAAACTGGCTCTACTAGAATTCATTATAATTAAATAATTATAATTTTGTAAACAGTAATGGGGAGAAAAGAACAGTAAGAATAATTCACTGAAAAGTGTAACAGTTTTACCTTAGAAATGATAAAAGCGGTATGAACACATTTTGGGGTAGAATGGTCTATGAAAACGAGGTAAGTGTATGCTTTTTTCCTAGGACTGGGCTGTCAGGCTAGTTTAATTTCTACTATTGAAGTTTGTTTTTTCTAAGCAAAACAATAAATTTTAGCTTACTCAACGTAAACCGGAGTCCCTGGAAAGTCGCCCTTTCTCTTACGCACTGAAGTGGGTAGGAGAGAGCAGACGGTCAGACAGGAGAAGACAGATCGGGGGAGAAAAGCTTGGATGAAGGGAAATGGGAGGGGGGGGGGGAGGAGGAGGAGGGGGGGGAGGAGGAGGAGGAGGAGGAGACACACGGAGGGAGACTAGACGCACGCACGATGGTGCAGCATTCAGAACACCCAACCCACTGTAAAAACAAGTGTGTAACGGCTGCAGATTCTGCTGCTGAGCTGACGACACGCTAAGACACGCTTTCTCCACACAAAAGTCTGACACGCAAACCAACATCCAATCTGCTATCAAATGGCATCTTAGAGATAGGCAGGTGCATAATACACTGGTGCACTGCCTTGCCAATGAGGGAAATATGCATAACCTATTTTCTTCTTGATATTTAAATTGGTAGGCAAAGATTTTCTATAAAGGACCAAATGGCATTTTAATATTTTATTATTTTTAATTAATTAATATTATTTTTATGTGAATGGGTGTGATGTTTTGCCTGCATGTATGTCCATGACTGGTGTCTTCGGTGGTCAAAAGAGGGCATCAGATCCCCTAGAACTGGAGTTAGAGATGGTTGTAAGCTGCCCTGTGAGTGCTCAGAATTGAACCTGGGTCCTCTGGAAGAGCAATAAGTATTCTTAACCACTAAGCCATACAAGAGGATTAAAAGAAACCACTTTTAAGTGTTTACACTTAAGCTAATTTATGGGCTTTCCAGACCAGTGAAATCTAATGCGATCCTACTACATGACTATACCGATGGCTATGAAGAAAGAGGCAACAAAACACTAATATACAACTTCCTAAGGTTTATGTATGTGAGATGTGCACAGTAATATACAACTTCCTAAGGTTTATGCATGTGAGATGCAAACACTAATATACAACTTCCTAAGGTTTATGCATGTGAGATGCAAACACTAATATACAACTTCCTAAGATTTATGCATGTGAGATGCACTCACTAATATACAACTTCCTAAGGTTTACATATGTGAGATGCAGCTCCTCACTTCTTCTCTCTATCAGGCATACATTCTTCTCTACACAATCAGCTATGTAATAGTAACTTTTCTGTACTGCTTCATGGATAATGTTTTATAAGCCTTGCACATCAGCCTCATTCATATTCTGCTGTAAGATGCAGACTTGACAAACAGGAGCTGACTAGTCAGGGCATAGTATTTTCTTTATGACCATAAGATGGCACCAAAATGCCACTTCTCAACTAATATACACATCAGTATGCTTACAGCAGGAAAACTTCAGTAGGCAATCATCTACCTATAATGTGGTATAAGTATTTTAAAGTATTTTAAAACTATTTAAAAGCACATTTTGTTAGAGTTCTAATGCTAGAAATACAGCACCACAAAATAAACCCCTGAAACAACTCTATTTGGCCAATTTCTGCTCAGTGATCCTGGGAGATGTGGTTTCTACAGAAAGCATTACCATGAGGAAGAAATGCACCTAATATGTTTAAAATAATCTGGGCATGGTGGTGCATACCTTTAATCCCATCACTCAGGAGGCAGAGGCATGAGGCCAGCCTGGTCTACATAGCAAGTTTCAGGACAGCCAGGACTACACAGAGAAACCCTGTCTCAATGCCACTCCCCACCCCTCGCCGCCAAAAAAAGCAAAGTTTTAATTTTGATGGGCCTAGCAGTTATGGAGCCATCATGGAAATGTGAACTACAGAGAGTATTTGTCAGTTTGGCTAGAATTAAGCAAAAGAGGGTAACAACAAGAAAACAATGACCTGGACCAGACCTTTACTCCACCCTGTATACACTCGTGTACTGTAAACAGGAACGCTGACGGGCTCAAATGAAACCACTAAGAACAAAAGCTATGACTCATCGAGTGTTTTCAATTTTCCCCTCACACTTGATCACATGACTCAATCTTGAATAAAAGTTCTTTCGCCAAACTTCTGCCTAGATTTAACCATGTGACTTGGACTTGCATTTCTAACATTTTCTAAAAGATGAGACGCTACATATTTCTTCTTCAAATTTATAGCTGTATTTTTCCCATTGGCAATCTATACGGTGCAGCAATAGAACCATCACACACATACCTCTTTCCCTTTCAAGCAATCTGGAACCATTTTAAGCGGATGTTTCTGCTGGGCTTTAAATACAGGTAAAATCTGTAATTCTCAAAACTAAGATTAATGAGTATTATCCCAAAAACTGGATGTAGTGCTGGAGGACTGTAAGAGAGGAGGCTAGAAAGGGCCTTGGCTAACTCGGGAAACAAAGCTCTCTGCTCTCCTGCCACAACTTGTCAGAGCACATCACTGTTTTCTAGTGTTAATCCCATTTGTCTACCACACAGCAAACTCAACTACAGGACTCTCTGATTCAGACACACACTCATTCATTTTCCCTGCCTCACCTCCTAAGAGAATCTAACTACCAATACTAAAAAGAGGAACTACCAATGGTTCAGACCAGCATGCCCAGCTTGTTGGCCTTAATAAGATTCAGTGGGAAAAGCTCTGTAGCAGAGGAGACTTCGAGGTTCTTACTGCTTGTTGCCTTTTTAATGTATCCGGCTGTTAGCTATGTCCAACTTTTTCAAGGATCATGTTCTGTCAAGCTGAGCTTTATTACATTTCTTTTTTAATTGCATACGGGTGTGTGTGTGAGCACAGGTGCTGTGTGGCATGCAAGGAGGTCAGAAAACATCCCGTGGAAGCCAGTCCTCTCCTTCTCCCATGTGGGCTCTGGGGATTGAACTCAGACGCTTCAGGATTAGTGGCAAGTTCTTTTATCCACTGAGCCTTCTTGCCAGCCCACTCATTTTATTACTTCCAAGATACTATGAGCTGCTCATTTCAAACAAGCCTGTGTCCCACTGAAGCCTGCTCAGCTTAGTTTACTGTCTCAATAGCTCAAAAGTGTATCTTCCAGCATGCTACAGTGAAAAAGTCATGGCCATCACCATCTCCAGCACTTCACACCACACCTGCGGCCTTAACAACAGAAATTCTGTGTGTTTCAATGTTCCTTCTACTCCCTATCAACCCCTCTATGGACACTCTACTGTCCAGCTGCAAAGGCCTACTGCCTCTTGGCTGGAACTTCCCCGTCGAAAGATTTAGTAATATGCCACTAGTCCTAGGAAATTTCTTTGGCACCATCCTCCCACCAAGTCATTTTCTCCTTCACTCACTAATATTTTAGATGGTGGATTTCACACTGGCCTCCAGTGTGAGAACTAAAAGCTTCCTAGACTAGATACTTATTTATAAATCTAACACAACAACCATGTTTACAGGAAATTATGTCTGTTAATCAATACATTATCCATTATCAGCAATAACCAACTCTGACAACTCCAAGCCAAAGTAAAACTATCAAACCAGAGTCTAACTGAACTCAACAGTCACATCAAATGCCAACTAAGCTCATCAGGATAACCTGTTTATTCAGCCACAGAAAAGTGGGATTAATATTTTATATCTTCATATGTTAGTGTACACACCACTTGCTAAGATTTAGATCACAGAGCTCAGTCTGAAAAGCCACTTCAAAGACTTTCAAATGCTAAGGTGAAATGTGTGCTGTATTTATTTTAATGTATACTTTTTAAATAAATGTATAAAGATCACTATTAATGTTGATAAAATAGCTTTTTAACAATTTTTAATCTGCTTTTCCTGTCCAAGAAGTACTGAAGGGCAAGAATGCCATTGTATTCCTAGAATACTCAGTTACTAAGTTAAAGCTGAATGACACAGTAATCAATTCATCTCACTTCTTGGATGAGTTATTCCAGCCAAACAAACTGCACACACATTGCCAGGCAACAAGCAGAAAGCAGTGGAATGTCAATTAATTCATAAATGGATAGTTACTGTTGCTACCAATTCATTTAAAGAAAAACTATTTTAAATGTGGACAAAACTCAAGTTACTTATGTACTACATCAGAGAGATCCAAAATTAAAGCCATTTCAGAGAGATCACCATGGTATCAGATGTACAGTGAATGAGTGTAAAATGTGAAAACAACATGTCTTGTCCTCATGAAGGTAGTTAATGCTGTTGGGAACTCCCAGACCCTGAGGGGTTCCTTAGCTTAGGTAACTTCACTGTCACTTGGCCTCAGGATCTCCCAGTGTCTAGCACAGGTATGCTCAGCTTTTAGCACTTACAAATTGTCTACCTAACTGGAACATTCTTTTAACGCCATCTCTTTTCTTCCTTGAAGCTTAGCTACTAAGGGAGCAAATAACTTAAAGAAATAGTCTTAATGGGGGTGGGGGAAGAGAGGATACAGCCAGGGACAAGAGGATACATACAAGTTCTAGGACAAGGAGAAAGAGTGAAAATTAAAAGTTAGATGCTAACACAATTAAATGATCTATGCTAATCTGGACTAATAGAATCTGGAAAACTGAAATCTGGATCTGTATTACACATTTAATTTTTTTTCAAAACTATAAAAATGTCTGTATCTTTCAGCATACACAGATATAAATTTAATATTAACAATACTAACTGGGAAGTCATTAATGAACTTATGAAAAAAATCATTTTATTTTTATAGTTCAAAAACCAAGTGAGATAGGCACATTCATTTCATGAGTTATATTCTCAACCTAAAATGTAAAACAAAGAAGACTGAATATGCACTTAATACGTATTTTTCAAGTCTGTAACAGAATGTAAAAACCATTATAAAATTTAGCTATAAGACAACAAACCTCTAAGAGTTGATGAGACAATGATTTCACGTTCCATCTAATCAGACAGAACAATGTACACTTGACAGTTCAGCCCGAAAGAATAAGAACAAAGTGCAGACATTCTGGCTCCTTATGCTCATGCTCAGTAGTAAAGACTCAAACAACAGAATTCTCCTATCAATGACAGCACATCAGTGTTAACATTCACCATTAATATTAAAATTAACAAGCTTAGGAACAGTTTATTCTGACAGTTTATGAAATACAAAACTTAACACTTACCTTTATTTTGTCAAGCTTTTATAAAAACTGATGGTATCACACAAAGCAAATCCATCAATTTCCCAAGCATGCCCAATGAAATAGAAGACAGAGCACAAACAAATGGAGAAGGAATAGACTCAGGGTTGTGCTGCAATCTAGGCCAAAGCAGCTGCCTAGAAGATTCAGAGGAGCAAGGCCAGCACAGGATCTCCCAAGTCCACCCTGGTTCATATGCTATCTGAATTTGGGACTTTTTATTCTGTAAGTATAATAGTCTATACTCTCTAAGAAACAGGCTTAAAAATATACATATGAAATAGTAATAAAGGTCAATTATTCAGCTGAAGTGTATGATTTATAAGCAAGGAATGACAAAATGATATTGACAAAGTATATTTGTATTAAATCAAAAAGGAGACAAAGACATGTTAATATAATCTGTTATAAATTCCAACCCAGCCTTGTTTTTCACCCTATGACTGTGCGTTAACTACAATTACACTAACTGTAATACCAGTGACAGCCCTGAACTAATTCTGCTAGATCAAAGACTCACACCTCTATGAAAAACAAAACAACTACAAAAAACAACCATTTACACTTACAAAGAAGAACATTTACTTCGATTGCAGTATCTGCTTTTCAGTCACAAAAACAAAGAAAAGAAAGTGATCAGACAGTGGCCGCATCCTGTGCAAAAAAACCTTGAAATACAAAAATGGCAGCACAAGGTTACATTTCAGGAAAAAGGAAACACGGGAGCTGAAATATGGCACTCCTGGCAATTTCTAAACCAAACAGAATGCCTCTGAAATGATTAAATTTATTTGTGTATTAGTAAGAAAGCCCCACCACCATAAATAGTACAATATTTAAAAATAAAAAAAATATTTATATCCATCTAAGACAGACAGTGTATTTGTACATTAGAACTCTTTAAGTGCAGAAGGTGGTTCAGGTTTTGCCTTTTGTATTTTTTAATTCAGTACTTGCCCATATGTGTATAAAGTTCCACTCAATTGCAAAAGCCAATTGAAATCAAGGAATATGTTATCAAAGCTGCATAATTTCATTTGGGACTACCAACAGGTTAAAGGTTCAAATCAAGTCTTCAACATTAATGTTCATTTTTAGTCAATGGAAAGTTAAAAAGTCCTTAAATCTTCATTATCCTCTTGAACTTGCCCTTCTAAATGATTCTCAGACTGCAATTCCTAGTTTGCAAATTAAAAAAAAAATGCAATATGCATCATACTTCAAGAAAAGACGATGATGTTGAACTAGCATTCTTCTGGATCTTTTCTCTGCTTCTTTCAACCTTCTTTATAATTTCAGACACAATGCACACTGATGAGGTAAGGCCCAAAAGAAACAACAGATCTACAAGAGAAAAGACACTGAGTTTTACAATTCCTTGAAAGGCATAGCAGCAGCTTACATGTTAGAATACACAAGTACTTCACGAGGAAGAGATCAGTAGCATAAGTTAAAGTGCTGAAATGGAGGGTGAGCAAGGTGGCTCCTAAGTAAAAGTCTTGCCGGGCAAGCTAGACTTCCCAAGTTCAATCCAGAACCCAGGATGGAAGGTTAAAAGCAACTCTGAAAGTTGTCTAGACCTCTGCATGTGTACAGAGCACAAGTGCCTGTACACAATACAAACGCACACCAATAACAAAACTCTTAAAATGCATATGAAAGGGAAAGCTCAATAACTTACCCAAAGTCACACAGCTAAGAGAAAGCAGTCAGAACTAGAACTCAAATTCTCTGACCACCTCTCCTGAATCCTAAGCTCCCGTGACTAACTTTTAATGATAACATCAAGGTTTCCTATTGGATAGATCAAGGCTTTTGCAAAGCATTTTTCAAGAAGTAGTAACAAGACATCTGACTAAAAGTGCCTTTCTAGTGACTGAAAGTTTTAGACGGTACATCTCTGAGCCTAGAAAACTGTCTTTTAATAGTATTCACACAATCTCTGCTCTTATTTATTGCTTAAAAAAACAGAGCTGTCTTTTAAAATTCTGCTTCTTAAAAAGTAGAAGCAATGCGAATACAGAATTGAAATATTAAAATTAAACTAGCTCAAATTTTAAGGTAAACTTCAACTTATACCAAAAACACTAAAGTTATACCAAAAAATAGGAGACCATAAAACTCACTTAATAAATATACAAATTAACTTTTAAAAAAATCTAACAATTAAGGACACATTTTCAAATATATTTCAAATATATTCTCCACATACTTAAGAACATCAATTTTGGATGTATTTTGATGGCGGTGGTTGTTTGTAGTGCTGGAGATAAAACCAAGGGCCTTGGCTTCCCAGTCAAACCTATCACCAGTGAGCTCCATGCCTAGCACTGTACCATATACTCAGTGCATATGAAAGAATAATAACTTCCACAGGAACATTATAAAAGTTAACGTCTCCTGGATCAGATTGAGATTTCATGAAATAAGAATGTGTTAATAAGAATGCTGAAATACTAAGTTTATTTAAAAATGATTGTTTTAAGAACAATTCGATTTTATATGAGCTTAAATATAGTTATCTCATTTCACTAAAGAAATGTCCATAATTTTTTAAAATATTATAAACTACAACTAATCTACAACAGGTTTTGCGAATGGCTGTATTTCAAAATCTCCAAATATGATTTTGTAACAACCAATAACATGTAAAGAGTGGGGAGAGTCAAATAAATGAAAATGAGTTTCCTCTGAATGTCCTGAAACAAAAACATAAAAGACCTTTTGTTATAAGTCAAGTCGGTTACTTTTCTATTTCCTATTTTAAAAAAGCTTTTTATTATGATACACACATTAGAAAATACAACAATTATCTACTGTGCATGGAAAACATTTCTTTACCCAGTATACTTAGGCTCTCGGTCTGAAAAACCTTCTGAAGTGGAGGGAAGTAAATAACAAGCAACTGTCCCATGATGGATCCAAGAACTGCATAGCAAAACATCTTATTGCTGCAGAGTCCAATCTCAAACACAGACTTGGTCTGTTGGCAAAACAGAGAGTTCTAATTATTCCATCCTGGTCATAGAAATGACACCATGATTATACATCTAAAAGACTTTTAGAAGCCAAAGAGAAAGCAGAGTGTATGAAGTGCTTTGAAACTGCAGTGAATGGCCATGCAAAGGGAACTGGTTTTCAAGGACACTACACTCTCAGAAAGCACCCCAGGCTCTGGTGCTAGCACATTATTTTCTACCAAAATGCAAACACAGCTTAATGTACAACATGGGAAGAAAAAAAAAAGAATCCTAAACTTTGACATAATTTCAGATGTGAGGAGGAACAAACTGCCCTTACAACAAGGCTTTCTAAAATGAGACTAAAATTATCCTTACAGCCCCGCGAGGTTTGTCCTGGCTGGTTTTGTTTTTCAACCTTACACAAGCTAGAGTCATCAGAGAGGAAGGAGCCTCGGTTGAGGAAATGCCTCCATGAGATCCAGCTGTAAGGCATTTTCTCAATTAGTGAACAATGGGGGAAGGCCCAAGCCCATTGTGGGTGGTACCATCCCTGGGCTGGTGGTCCTGGGTTCTATAAGAAAGCAGGCTGAGCAAGTCACGGGGAGCAAACCAGTAAATAGCTTCCCTCCAGGTTCTAGCCTCTGAATCAGCTCCTGCCTCCAGATTCCTGCCCTGTTTTGAGTTCCTGCCCTGACTTCCTTCAGTGATGAACAAAAATATGGAAGTGTAAGCCAAATAAACCCTTTCCTAACTAACTTGCTTTTTGGTCATGGTGTTTAGTTGCAGCAACAGACACCCCAACTGAAATAGATGTTAGCCTAAATCTATCCTATAGCTATAGCTAATAATTGAAGAAAGATAGGGATCACCCTAAGATCAAACATCCCATCCTTATTGTTGACCATAAGCACATCTATACAGAAAGATGTATGGCGTTGTAATCTATAGCTACAAAATCAAAGCTAAAATATTCATAATCTCTGTCTACTTCTTATGAACACATTCTCAACAGGTGAATTAGGTAAGACCATTTAAGCATACCTGAGATCTGGAACTTAGTGCATTGAACATGTCAAAAAACACAAAGCAAGTGAAAGTCATTGTTGTATCTCGTGGTGTTATCACGTTGTCTCGAAGCTGCCAAGAAGAAAGACAAAATGACCTCTTTTTTTTCCTTGTGGCTGGATAAAATGGATAAACACTGCATGTTTTTAAAATGAAATAGCGTCAGTCTAAACATGACACTGAAATTCTCTGAATTTTCTACAAACCACCTAGTGAATATAGTTTACATGAAAGTTAAAAAAAAAATCTCATGAGCCAGGAATTGAAATACTGGCACTATTTTACCACAGCTATGCAAGGGCTTTATTTTCTGATTCTCCTGTATTTCCATGCACATGATACTTTACTATATATACACTTAAGGACTTAAGATTATATTCCTTAACCTTTATTTTTCACTCAGAAGGCTCTTCACTTGCCAACCATCTGTACAATACACCAAATAACTAAGAATCCTACTACACAGATGGATGGTAACAGCAGTTTATCCAGTGAATGTACCTCTCGCCAGAAGACAAATAAAGTCCCACAAACAATGATTATTGATGAAACAAGTATTTTAAGTATCAAATTTTTTGTCAAAATGCTGTCCTTCCAGTTTCGAGGAGGTTTGCGAATGACATCTTTATCCACTGGCTCTACTCCAAGGCTTAAAAACAAAAAGAACAAAGAAAGTACTTTGAAATGCTGTTTACACTTACATTCACAATCTAAATAGCTTCAATTATCTAGAAAACTAAATGCTCTCTTTAGAAAACATTTTGTTGAATCATAAAGACGACAGTGGCCATGATTACTTGAAAACTGTCACTGCTGGACATGCTGGCATATGTCTATAGTACTAACTACTAACAGGAAGAAGGGAGGGAGGGAGGAAGAAAAGGGGAAGTGAGGAAGACAACAAGAAGACTACTGGTTTTGTCATCTTCTGAACTCTTACACTTAATGCTTTACGGCATGGTATGACAGGCAATTGATAGGCAATTTTCAAAAGAAACACCCAATTTCATTTACATATAAATTGATTTTTTCAAATCCATAACCTACCAAGGAACTAATATATTTTATGCAAGGATGTCTTTGATTCCGAGGACTTACTAGGATGACCATGACAGATATCATTCAATTACGAAACTACTAAAACTGAAAGACACTGAAATCTTTGAACATGTATTTTAGCAAGGTTCTTAAACAGAATTCAGATATAAAACGTGGAATGATGGTGTTGATACAGAATTATGAAAGTATCTCTTACATACTAAGAGCCTGGAACTTCTGCTGGACCTCAGCAGAGTTAACAATACACTGTGAGGTCACTTAACAACTGCTGTCCTACTATGTACTCAGCACGTGTAACCTGCATTGAAGAGAACAGTAACAAAACCAACCTTGCCTTGGATGTCCATGTAATCAACTTTTACAGTCTGAGCTAATGTATAGCTGTAATCTTAAGTTATGTACTTTTCCATGCCCCTGACTCAGAGTAATACGTATGTGTTTTCATGTGTGTTATAATCATTTGCTGGAAACAGCAAATAGGCTGCAAGTGACCTTATAAAATGGATATCTGTAAGTGCTGGAAGAAGCATTAGGATATTCCTTGATGGTGTTTGTTTATTATCTCGGTCAGTTGGAATCAGTGACTTAATTCCTTGTAAAACTCTAGTTAAAACTGCTGTAAAATACCCCTCATTCCTTCCACATGTGATGCTTTCTGTGCTGTTCAGTAAGAGCCCTTTACTGGGGACAGATACAACAGACAGACACAGATACACAGACCACCAGGCAACCTTCAGGCAGGCAGAGATCCTTAGATTCAGTCATCAGTCATAAAACAGAAGACACAGGGAAAGGGAAGCAGAGAATTAAGTAGTGGCTTGCTCTTGGTTAAATAACACTAACAATAATGAGGAGTGGGGGAAGGGAGGGACACTGATTCCTTCCCTTAGTGCAACACCAATGCATTAGTGGTGACTGAGTTTATTGTTAATGTGTTCAAACTGACTGCACGAAATTTCTCCATCATACCCAGTTCTTAGAACTCAGCTTATGTCCTAAGGACAAGAAAGAACTGCAATTGTTCCCTGCTCTGTTCTTACCCAAAAGCTGACACCTCACACAGTGTAAACAATCAGATCTATGCTGAATGAATGGACAATCAAAGAGAATAAAGAGAATAAATGATATGCACTCATGACAATTCGTAAGAAGCATGTGGCTGAAAAGTTGTCCATGAGGAAGGTTTGATAGGTCTTCTTTACATTCGCCTTCTCCTTTCAGTTCATTCATGACACTTACCTCTGAGCTGGGGGTCCATCCATAATAATATTGATCCACAAAATCTGCATTGCATTGAGAGGGTTAGGAAAGTTCATTAACGTAGCCAATGAGATTAAAGTTAATGCTGCTATACTCCTGTTGAAAAAGAGTCATTTAAAAATTAGCACAGTAAATTGTATACATTTTACTAGTACTTAAGCCTCATGTTACTGGGGCTGGGGAACAGCTCAGTTGGTGAAATACTTTCTGAGTAATAAGCATGAGCGCCTAGTTTAGATCCTTGGGACCAAAGTGGAAAGTCAGGGGCAGTGGTGCACACCTGTAATCCCAGTATTGGGGACATAAAGACAGAAAGGTCCCAGAAGCTTGCTGGGTAGCCAGTCTGGCTAATCAGTGAGCCCAGGTTCAGTGGAGACAAGTTACCAAAAATTAAGGTCGGAGATGACTAAGAAAAATATACAATGTCAACATCTGGGCTCTACATAAAAGCACATACATGTGTACACAGATATGGACACATCCACGAACACATTTACTACACACAAAAAAGAAAAAAAATCATGTTCTACATATTTTAAAATAATCCTACTAATTCAACTGATCTATGCTTCATTCATATGAGTATTTTGTTAAGAAGCTAAGAGGTGTTTTTTTGAAAGTGAGTCTGATTCTGCAGCCCAGGTCCTGCTATATAGACTGGGCTGGCTCCAACAACAATCTACTCAGTCTCCCAGGTACTGGAATCAAAAGTGAGAGCCATCTGTCAGGCAAGTTAAGCATTTTTTTTTTTTTTTTTTTTTTTTTTTGGTTTTTTCGAGACAGGGTTTCCCTGTGTAGCTTTGTGCCTTTCCTGGAACTCGCTTGGTAGCCCAGGCTGGCCTTGAACTCACAGAGATCCGCCTGGCTCTGCCTCCCGAGTGCTGGGATTAAAGGCGTGCGCCACCACCGCCCGGCAAGTTAAGCATATTCTAACAAAAGATTTTTTTAAAAAAACTGCTTAGGCAACAACAGCAAAAACAGAAAGACCTCCTAACCCTAATATAGGCTCTCCCTACGTAATACAGACCAGGCCTCTTAAGTTCTCCTGCCTCAGCCTTCTAGAATGCTGGGATTACAGACATGTGCCACCAAGACCAGACTAGAGGAAAGATTTTAAAACCTACAAAAAAACAGCTTCAGAAATATTTAACAACTTTTTGACTAAAGAAAACCTATTTTACTTTTAGAAAAAGATACCAAGAAACATTACGGATATTTGATACATCCCTTTTAGATTTCAGAAGCAAGTAAATAAATCCCAAAGGTTTATGCAAGCATCCTTCAGTATTCATGGGAACTGGTTGCAGGATCTTGTCCAAATGCCAAGGTCCCAGTCACTTATATGAAAATGGCATCATACTGTTTCTCAATCTTTTGATGAAATGGCAAGTATAAAATGGCAAAATATCTACCTATTATTTATACATCTCCTATTATATAATTTAAATCATCCCTACATGGTGGATAATATCTAGACCTAAACAGTATGTTCACAGCTATTAAAGCTTTTTTTTTTCTTTTTAGAAAACAACTTATAAGCAATTTTCAAGAATGTAGGTCAGAAGTTTCTAGGCATTCTGCTTAAGTTTTACTCCTCGATTATTTCTCTACGAGACCCATGGGCAAAAGTTCTTGCAAACTTACGTGCTCAGTTGAAATCTAACAAAATTTTTAATGTTATTATAAATGCCTTTACCCTCTTCAATTGCAGACCTGAAATTTAAAAATAAGAAAATATCACAAAAATATGCCTACATTGAAACTAAGTTTCCAACTAAACAACAATTAGCACTTTTTTAAAAAATCTATTGTTAGGTAAGATTAAGAAATATGAAATTTTTTGTTGTTGTTGCTTTTGTTTTTCGAAATAGAGTTTCACTGTACAGCCCTGGTTGTCCTAGACCAGGCTGGCCTCGAACTCACAGAGATCCACCTGCTTCTGCCTCCCAGTGCTGGGATTAAAGGTGTGTGCTGCCACCATAGCCAGGCCCAAATTCTTCTTCTTAAAAAAGAGCTAGGGCTAAAGAGATGGCTCAGTGATTGAGAGGGCATACTGCTCCTGCAAAGGACCCGAGTTCTAGTCCCAGCACCCACGTCAAGTAGCTCACAACCATCTCTAACTCCAACTTGATGGGGAATGCCACCTCTGGCCTCTATAGATACCTGCACTATTATGTACACTCACAAACATAATTAAAAATAAATCTTTAAAAAAATGTATTATCCTTCCCCACACAAGATAATACTACTCATATGTGATACTAGAATGACATTCGATAGCCTTCACGGCTCCTTTTTCTTAGTAGGTTAAATTAACACATGCCAAAATTAAATGGCACTGAGTTATATAAGAATGATGTAATTTATTTACTGTTCCTACCTAACACTTAGATTAATATCCTGTGAAGAATTTAAAGATGTGGTTTACAAAAATTTACTTAGGAATTCCCGCATTCACTTGGCTCAATCTAGGCAAAGTTGAATTCTTTTTTTTTTTTGGTTTTTCGAGACAAGGTTTCTCTGTGAATCTTTGCGCCTTTCCTGGAACTCACTCTGTAGCCCAGGCTGACCTCGAACTCACAGAGATCTGCCTGCCCCACCTCCCAAGTGCTGGGATTAAAGGTGTGAGCCACCACCACCCGGCAGAGTTGAATTCTTAAAACAACTGCATCCTCCAAGATTTTTAGATAACTTCAAGAATGGGGGGAAAAAACACTTCTCTCCTTGCCAAAAGTTAGCAAATGCAGAGTTCTATGCTCCAAAGTGAATCACTTTAGGCCATATTTGGATACTAAAGCATGGCAGGACTCATGATTAGAATTCATCACTGTAAGAAGTGAAGCTCAGGTCATTCAATGGGTTACGGAAAGTGAGATTCACAGGACCCCCACCACTGGCATTACACTGGACTCTCAGTCAACTGAAAACATGGACTACTAAAGGCATTCAGGGCTAAGACAATGAGGGCAACAAGAACACTTACTAATATAAGAAAATATTCATGAATGTGAACTTAACTTTTAACGCTGCATACATGTCTCCCATAACCTCAATTTAACTAAAATAAAGACTCTGGAAGAAGGGTCACTATTGTACCATCATTCTATGCCCAGAAAAATATGACATGTGGCTGGTACTCACTGACTATTTCTTAAGCAAACAGGCTTGTCATTTATTATGTGTTCCATTCACACAAATAATTTTCTCTTGAATTACATAAAACAAGATTATTTAAAACAAAATCATGTTTTAATCTGCCTAATCCTACTAATTCTTCTCAAGCTGAATTATCTCAAGGTGAGATGCATGTAGCAAAGGAAAACAAATGTCTTACATTATGGTTTGGAAATCATCATCCACCAAGATCATGTCTGCAGCCTCTTTGCAAACATCTGTGCCGGTCTGGCCCATTGCAACTCCAATGTCTGCAGCCTTCAGAGCAACTGCATCATTTACTCCATCTCCTGTCATGGCTACAACTGACCCATTCTTCTGTAGAGACTAAAGAGGGGGCAGAAAAGTAGAGCAGAGAGAACTGTTCAGATTATTTTTTTTAATCAGATAATGGGATAAGTAAATATTATCAACCATTTTCACATAATTAAGATAAAAAACATAACCTCATTTTTCAGTCAATTTCAATACATGAATGTCTTTATAAAATAAAGCTTAGAAAATACTGTTACTAGCATTCCCATCCAAGAGAACTGTACATCTGAAATGTGACAGTAAACTATACAATGGGGTATTTTGTTTTCCAGAGAACATCTAACAACATTTGGTGACATTTTGACTATCTTAAATTGTAGGACACCACTGGCATCTACTGGGAAGGAGCTAAGAATGAAACTAAACATTCCAAAATATCACTCCTAGCTACAAATAACCCACCCTAAAATGTCAACAACCTCAAAACTCAGAAGCTCTCAACTATATAATGTCTAGCCACTATATGTAATTAAATCTGCTTATCAACTGTTAGATACAATTTCAGTTGATTTATACACCAATCAAATAGTACATAAAAATATTTCAGTCAATGATGAATCATATATCAGCAGGTGGAGCTGAAACATTGCTAATGCCCGTTGACATGCAAATGGTATTGGTTTGCAACACACTGCTCACTTATTTGTGGAACATGCTATATAATGAAAACATAGCTTTGTTAATGAACTGATAGAAATAATAAGCCTTCTTGATACTGTTCACGCTCACAAAACATCTTACATTTATATAGTGTCTAACTATAACTATTCACATTGGGATGATTTAGTTATGCATCCCTGCCATAATATACTTCTCTACACTCTGATTAAAGAGGCTGTACTGAAAAATACTTTGTAGGTTTCTTCTATGTTTTTCTATGCCAAACTCTTATTGTTTCTCAGTCAAGCTCTTACAGAATTAAACCTGTTTTGTCTCATACTTTAAACTTTGTTACTCTATCAATACTCTTTGTAATGAACAAAAGACAAAGTAGCAACATTTTGTAAAGAGAATTTAAGATAATTTGGTTTTCAGACACCCACCTTAATAATTTTCATCTTGTGTCTTGGACTTGCTCTGTAAAATACTGCAACCTGTTAAAACACAGATAAACTAAAAATCTCCAGTGTTAACAAGTAGCAGTGCTTCTAAGTAACGACATTTTTAACAACTTAGTTTGGCACAAAGGCTGAAATTAGTCAATGCCATATATGTGCCAAGATAGCTACCTCATACAGGGATTCAACCTTTACTTCTACATTCATCATAGGAAACACATAATTTAAACAAGTGATAATCTAATTTATATAATTAGGTTAAAGCTATGAAGAGAAAAGAGCTTTATTCTTGGAGTATTTCAGAAATGGAAAAGGGAGAACTCTTCTTCTTTATCTGTGCCCTCACGACACTAGTGTACAACAGGAATAGCTTTTCTCTTCAGTCTGTCTCAGAAAAGAACAGTTGCTCCCAGTGTCTGAGGAGCCATTCTACAGCGCCATGTAGGTGCTCTTTCTTGGTTTGGAATAATTCACAAGCCTCTCTTCAACTGTAATTCAAAGCTGCTTAATGATCAGATTTCTCCAACCACAATTCATCTCCTCATGACTCATCTGTGTGATCCTTCACTGTGCCCAAAGCCAGCCAGCACAGTGTGTCTTGCATCCTTAACTTTCACCTGTTTTAGCCTAAGTTTTCTAGGTAACCGTGCCAGCCCTTACAGCTCTCTCACAAAGTACCAGTGGGGGCGTGAGGAAAGAAAGGGAGCTGCATGGCATCCTTCCTCCTTCATAAAACACAGTTATAAATGTCATAGGAGTTCATACTTCTCACTAATTGTAAGCATTCATGTCCCCAATTTTCCAACCTCTCATTTCATAAACATCTCAACTTCAGCATTGTGGTCAATCTTCCCAGCACGTCAAAGCCACAGTGTTTCTTACACCCACAGAATACACTATTCTCTTCTCTGCGCTCCGGGGGTCTACTTCATGGCAGCTTTCTCTCCTGCCTCCTCCACTCCAGTCTTGCTCTCAGTTGCCAGCTTTATTTCCTACTTCAAAGAAAACACTCCAATCCCTGCCACCCATTATGTATCTAGAACCAACCCAGTATTTCACTACAGACAGACACTGATAATCCTGTCTCACCTACGTGAGATCACCACCCCAGAAATTCTTAAAATTCTTCCCTCTCATTGAGCAGAGTTGTTCCTGACATTTAAAGAGTGAGGACTCACATTCCATGACCTCCTATCCTGGCTTTCCTCTCCTTCCCTCTCCTTCCTCTTCCTCTTCTCCTCCTCCATTCATTGTCATCACTGTCATGCTATCTTAAAGTTTCAATCTTATTCTCCAGAGTTTATCCTTCTAGCCTGTTTGTTTCTGGTGCATTGCAGCATTCATCCCTCTTGTAAGATTTTCATCTATCTTAGAACACAAGATCCATGAAAGCGATGGTTTTGTCCAACACCTTCAGTGCTTTCGAGGTATTTGCTAAATGAATAAACAACTGAATGAATCTTGGCATTGTCATACTGCTCCCGGATCCGCTTTTACAGTCTTAAAACAAGAGAGTGTTATTTTCTTAGAGAAAGGATTCAGTTAAACTACAGTATCCATTATTGATTATGACCAAGGTCATATGGGTCCAGGAATCACGTGATGCATATTTGAAAACGATTCTTCAAATCAAGAGTAAAGTTCAATTTCTATTCAGACCGTGCATAGATCAGTTCCTCCATCTTGTATTCTTGCTGAGGTCATTTTAGATTTAACTAGAATTTGATCCCTTGATGGAGACTCCCGTGGAAAATTACCCAATTCTATTCTAGGATCCCAAGATCAAGATGCTCCAGCTAACTTATCTTGGCTTGCTAAACTGCCTACTTGTGCAAGACCCCTCCAGATAACTGTTTATCTTAATTTCTGTTAAACTGCTTGCTTACACAAAATCTGCCCTAGCAGCTGCTAACCAAGATACCAGGATGTGGTTTTTGTCTTAAAACCCCTAACCCTAAACACTTGGCGCTACACTTAGGTCACGAATGCCTGAGTAAAGACTTTCAACTGGCTATAAACTATGTCTGAGTGGCCATCCCTGTAACACTTTAATGTTCAAAGAAAACTAAGCTACATATATACTCAAAACATACTTGTACCTACCTATGTAAACAATTCTAATTATTCTTAAACTAATCATGAAGCATACACTGCACTGAAATGCAACATAAATGTTTGGAAAAAGCCACAGAATATACAATATATTCCAATAAAGACTGATGATGAGTACTTACACACTATGATGTGCCTTTGTTCCACATAATTCACTTTCAAACTTGGCAAGACACCAACTTGTAACTATTATGGTTAGTAAAGGGGAAAAGCCACCAACTGTTTGACTGCAGATGCACTCCTTTATATACTAGTACATTTACTGATATGCAATAAATATATCTGTTATTTATTATAAGATTTTAACATTTCAAAGCTTCTGATTTCATCTCAAAAACAGAAGCAGCCACTTTCAGACCAAGCAAATCAACCACAAACCACACTGGCAATGATTACTGGGTCTTTTACACGTGGTACATATCACCAAACAAAGTAAAACTTGTTCTTAAAACACGAGAATGAGTTTAACTTGCTGAGTAAAAACACTGAAATTCAGTGCATATCAACTTAAAGTCTGAAGAAATTACATCCTACACTAACAAAAGAAATTACTAGAACGTGAAGTGTATCACTATCTCACAATTTAAAGCAAGCAGAGATAACTGAACACACTGCATAAATAATCTTTTGAATTGTATTGTTTCTTAGTCTCAGCAAAAGGGAGCAGGGGTGACGAAAGAACAAAATACCATCACTGTGGTCTGGAGTTAGGAAGTGAGGAGACAGGAGGACAAGACAGTGGAAAGCTACACTATAAAAGAAAAGAACACAGGGGAATATCGAGGACGGGGAAAACCCCAAAGAAAAATCCACAAAAGGCTTCCATATTTTCAGAAGAACTCCTCTGAAAGGGCATTTCACTCTTCCTCTCAGCCTTGCTGTGGGTAATGAAGTTGTGGGCAACATTCACAGTTCTTTAGACTGACATAAACTGACAAGGTGTGATTCGGAAAGGAAGTTAGGGAGAAAACAGGAAACCATTAAAGCAGAGGTTAATGAAGAAAGAGTTTAGAACAACCTGTCAAAGGTCCTCAGATCTTCTACGGTATTTCCTACTGATGCAATGGATAAATTGTAGGTGATTAAAATAAAAATATGTGACCTACATAAAATGAAACAATACACAAACCAGGAGTATGAAGATTCGCTAACAGACTCAGTAAACAAACCGAAGTACTAATATCAAAAACAGAAACCAAAGAATGAACAAGGACACTCAGTTCTACCTATGGAGAACAGGACACATTTTAAAATATATCACAAATGGAAAATGCTAAGAACTCTCAGGTATACCTCACAAAGCAGGCACACTTATCCTCCATGCTTTCTAATCGGTTCTAGGTAAATAAATATTTCCACGCACAGATGTTGGAAGATTTGGAATGTATTCTACTGAATTATGAAAATGAAATAGGGAAATGACAAACAATCATATGACGTTAAGATGTGGGAAAACTAGTAGGCTAGTCATTTCAAACACCGTTATCTGTAGATGTATCCAACCTTCTTATTAAATAATAAACACAGAACCAATGCAAAGAAGAAAGCCAAGAGGTCAGAGCTAAGAGCTAAAACCTTACCCTTCCTCCTGCGGTGGTCCTACCTCTCCAAACCAGAGCTATCCCTGTGTTAAAGTCTTTATATAGAGTTCCTGTCCTGCCTTCTCATTGGTTGTAAACCCAATCACATGACCGCCTCCTCACAGCCTGTCTGTATAGGCCTCCAGGTTTTCCATGATTGGTATTAAGATTAAAAGCATGTGTATCCAATAATGGCTGTATCCCTGAACACACAGAGACTTACCCAGCTCTGCCTACCAAGTGCTGGAATTACAAGCGTACGCTACCACTGCCCTGCTTTCCTATGGCTTGCTAATAGCTCTGACCCCCGGGCAACTTTATTTATTAACATACAAATAATATTTTAATACAAATAAAATATCACCATAGTTATCTGTCCACTAAGAAAACAGGCTCTACAAATCAATCAGGAACAAAAGCAGATAAACGAACCTGCCAGCTGTCAGAAGCTTACATGAACACAAGATGAAGAGTGGAGGGAAAGTGGGAGGAAAACAGTCCTGCTCGTTAAGAAATTCATTAGTATTTGGAGAACAGACTCACTTAAAACACATTAAGAGCCTGTAAGAAAGCCATGGTATTATTCAATTCCTCTTTTAAGTTGGATGCATTTAACTGATTCAATAAACTGACTTCAAGGCTTGGGTTTTATTCTATTTAAGTCTCTTTAGAATAGTGCCAGTGTATCTGCCATAATTAACACACTGTAGATTTGGAAAAGAAAGATGATGTCATCTCTCCAGGCTAATGATGTAATTCGGAATTTGCTTCTTCCTTCTCTAAATATCTTTTAGGCTTGTTTCCAGAACGTATTAACATTTTGTCAAAAAAACAGGGGGAACTAGAAAAGGCAAATGCAAGGCTGGCAGCTCTAGAAATATGCTGAACAAAGGTCTAATGGGAAAATGTTTAATTAACTATAGATTTTACAATCACTTAGTAATATACAGTCTAGCCCATACCCCTGGAGAGGCCAATACAGGATTTATTCTTTCATAAATAAACTATAAGGTAACACACATACACAAGCTCCTATCCAAATATGTAAACTTTCCTCCCTTAATCTCAAACAAAGAAAATGTTTATTCTGCCCTGGATGATCTGAAAGGAATATTCATGAATGATTAGAGCTTGGTTAAACTCTAATTTTGGTGGAGCAAACCATTGCATTTTTGCTAGCAACCACATCCCAATGAAGATGAAGAAAGTGCAGCTGGACGTCTAGATCAGCTCAACACCACTGCACAAAGTACAGACTGTGAAAACATAAACTGAAATCTCTTCAGAAGACAGGTCAGCAGTAAGTTCTAAGAGGTCTCTCAATGCACTGAACCTTGGTCAAAT